GAGATGGCCTCCTACAGATCCACAGGCACCTACGTCGATGAGGTTCCCCCTCCGGGGGCGAACGTAGTCGACGGCATGTGGATCTACAGGGTGAAGCGGCCACCGGGATCTCCTCCGGTCTTCAAGGCACGCTACGTGGCTAGAGGTTTCAGTCAGCGCGAGGGAGTTGACTTCTTTCAGACCTTCGCGCCCACCCCGAAGATGACCACTCTTCGGGTGTTACTACACGTAGCAGCACAGAGAGACTACGAGTTACACTCTCTCGACTTCTCTACTGCTTTCCTTCAGGGCAGTCTTCACGAGGAGGTCTGGTTGCGTCGTCCCTCTGCCTTCACTGGCTCTTTCCCTCCTGGGACCCAGTGGAGGCTGAGGCGACCGGTTTACGGTCTTCGTCAGGCTCCTCGTGAGTGGCACGACACCCTGCGTTCTACCCTGTCTGACCTTGGGTTCCAGCCGTCTTCTGCTGACCCGTCGCTGTTCGTTCGTCGTGGCCCCACACCTTTCTTTGTTCTGGTCTACGTTGACGACCTTGTTTTCGCCACCCCTGACAGGGTTGCTTTGGCACACGTGAAGTCCGAACTGCAGAAGAGACACACCTGCACTGATCTTGGTGAGCTGCGCCACTACCTTGGCCTGCAGATCACCAGGGACAGAGCTGCTCGCACCATTACACTTTCACAGTCGCACATGGTGCAGCAGGTCCTTCAGCGGTTCGGGCTTCAGCACTCCACAGTACAGCGCACACCTCTTGCTGTTGACCACAGACTCACTGGACCCTTTCCTGACGAGCCGTTCGAGCCTAGTGGTCCCTACGCTGAGCTTGTGGGTTGCCTCATGTACCTGATGACTTGTACTCGCCCGGACCTCGCCTTCCCTCTCAGCGTTCTTGCGCGCTTTGTTGCGCCAGGGAGACACCGTCCTGTTCACTGGACAGCAGCTGTGAGGGTGGCGAAGTACCTAGCGACGACGTCAGGCGTGGGGCTAGTTCTTGGAGGGCAGCAGTCTGTCGTACTTACTGGTCACTGTGACTCCTCTTACGCTGACGACGCTGAGACTCACAGGTCTACTCAGGGGTACTGTTTCAGCCTGGGTTCTGGAGCTGTTTCCTGGCGGTCCACGCGCTCCTCTTCGGTCTCGACCTCTACAGCTGAGGCTGAGATCTACGCTGGTGCCATGGCGGCACAGGAGCTGCGTTGGTTGACCTTCTTGCTCACCGACCTTGGTGAGCGGCCGAGCTCTGCACCGACCTTGTTCACTGACAACAAGGCGTCTATTCTCCTTTGTCGAGAGCCACGACTGGAGAGCAGAGTGAAGCACATTCACGTCAGGTACTTTCTTCTGCGAGAGTTGCAGAGGCGTGGACAGGCTCGCTTTGAGTTTGTGGAGTCCGAGGCCAACACTGCAGACATCTTCACCAAGGCGCTTCCGCCTTGTGACCACCAGAGGTGCTGTGTGCAGTTAGGCCTTGTTGACACTGGTTCTCGTGTTGCTTAGACTTGAGTGTACTGTTTACTTTGCTTTCTATATACCTCTGTTACTTCTTGGACTGGCCTTGTGGCCACTGTTGTTTGTGCTCAGACTGTGTGGTGACGTTGTGATCCACCCTGAGCTTCGTTTCTTGGACTGGTCTTGTGACCGTACTCGTGTGGTTCTGCTAGACACCCCTCACTTAGGCTATGGGGGTGTGTCAAATGTTGTAGCCTATAGTGAGGTTTGTCTTAGGGGGTACAAAACTTAGGGTTAGCTATATGTACCCCAACCAACATCAATGCATCATCCATTCTTCATTCTGACATTCTAAGCTTCCTAAAAAACGGGTTCCTTCCTAAAAGGGTTCCTTCCTAAAAAACGGGCTCCTAAAAGCTTCTAAGCTTCCTAAAAGGAGTTAGCAAACCACCCTATACTGGATGGTGATAACTAACCTGAAAATAGGTGCGCGACAGGCAAGTAAGCCTCATTTACCTGGTCAATGATGTCAAAGTTATATTGTTATAACTGCATGTAGTTGTAGCTTAGTGTAGCATTACATTTAACTGTTGGTGGTATACCTTGCGTCTCTCCTATTTGTACCCTTTGCTCAATAGTGAAACCCCTTCCTTTTCTCGACAATCTTCTCCTTACCATCCTGACTGCAGGAACCCGTTTTTTAGGAACCCGTTTTTTAGGAAGCTTAGAAGTGTACCTGACTGCAGATACCGTATTTTGTTTTCGGTAGCCACAGTCGTTTTGGTAAATTACTACCTGTATGTTTCTGATTCAGCCCATATCACCCTCCATTGGTGATTGGCGCAAACTGGTATCTTGTGTTGTGTCAAGGTATCTACTAGCGGGTACACCACCCACGGATGAGCACCGATGACTTATCACCACTCAGCGTGCCCACCAGGAATGCAAACATGCAACTTTATTAATCAAAGCTTTCTTTTGAGGGCTCCCATGATCCCACCACCAAGAGCATCAGCAGCGTGCCACTATCGTCCCTAAGAAAACACTGCCGTGTTGAGGAGCGACGTGAGCATGCCGAGCACCAGGAATGCGAGCATGGGACTCAGATCCAGAGCTCCGAAGAAAGGAGGCTGCATGGGTTTGCGGGGGGATGGGGGTACAAAGGGAGATGCAACAGAATAAGAGAGGAGAGATGTGAAAGCAGGAGCGACGTGAGCATGCCAAGCACCAGGAACGCAAGCATTGGGCTCAGATCCAGAGCTCTAAAGAAAGGAGGCTGCATGGGTTTGCGGGGGGATGGGGGTACAAAGGGAGATGCAACAGAATAAGAGAGGAGAGATGTGAAAGCAGGAGCGACGTGAGCATGCCAAGCACCAGGAACGCGAGCATTGGGCTCAGATCCAGAGCTCTAAAGAAAGGAGGCTGCATGGCACAAGGTCACGGGGTAGAAAGGGGAGGGTGAAAGGGGGAGGCGTGTAGATAGGGGTTGAGGAGTTGTGGGTACACAGAAGAGAAATGACTGTTAGAGCATGCCGGGCACCAGCAACGCGAGCGTGGGACTCAGATCCAGCGTTTCGAAGAACGGAGGCTGCATTGGGACTCTCTTACTCTGAAAGGTGGGAGAAGGGGGGTTGAGAGGGTGGGGGTTGGTGTGGGTGGGAAGAAAAGTGCGAGCAAACTACATAAGTGGGTGGAGGGGTATAAAGTCCCAGCTAAATGTACGGATCTGGATAAGCGGTAAATAGCTGTATGCCTCGTTAGAGTGTGTAATGTTACGCTAACGAGCATAAAAGGGGGGTGTGATATCAACGAACGTGCCACAATGAAATGCTTTAGAAGCGCACGTGCTGAAGCAACGAATGTGGCACACTGGCATGCCTGGCATTGACAGCCATGAAATACATGGTACCGGCAATGGATAGACGGGGCACCGACTCGGTTGCCTGGCATGGGCAAGGCATGCGGCATCAGTGGTCACGGTCAGAGCGAAGACACATTTTCAAGCGACATGTTGGGCTGTATAACCAGTGAACGCACTTCATAATTTCTGAAGCGCGTGGATCGTGGGGATAGCGGGCATCGCATAAGTTGCGTGCATCCGTTGGTACCGCACACTAGATGCCCAATTTCTTATATGTTTATTTGATTTATTGATTCTACACGTGTACTTACCAGAATGTTGCGGAAGAGGTTCAAATAGGGGTCGCTCATATCGCGGATGGCTTGCATGGGCTGTCTCTCCCAGTCGATGTTCGGGAACCACGACAGCAGCACACGAACCAGCAGCAGCCCACTGTACAGCTCCAGCCATTTCGCCATGCCACTCGCGATCACCGTCAGCGGCGTGCTCGTGCTCGCGTTCGATTGGCTAATCGCCGCGAAAAACAGCGGCGCGGCGCACGCCGTCAGCCGTTTCCCCGAGGCGAACATAGATTGCGCGCGGCCCGTGAGGCTGTCCAATTGGAGCTGCTCGGCGGCGGACAGCGGCGCGAAGAGGCGTCGCAGCGGCTCGAGAACTGCGCGTGCGACGGCCGCTGCGGTCGCCGAAGCGGCTGCGACCGCTGCGACGAAGAGAGCCGCCGGTGGTGGGGGCGAGGAGGGCTGCGCGGCGGCTTGCGCGGAAGTGAAGGCGGAAGCGCGGATCGAGAGGTGAGCGCGGGATCGGACAGCAGGAAGGGCGGCTTTTTGTTGTGGCGAAAAGACGGAGATCGCCGCTAGTCTGTGCGACGGTAGCTGGGTCGCACGGAAGGGAACGACGGCAGGGCTTGCCGCTCGCGTCGCTGAGCCGGTCGCATGCGACGGTTGCGAAAACTTCGCTGAAGCGAGCGACGCTTTGAGGTGAAGCCCTGTGGCTGCCATGACGCCGATTCAACTGAGACGAGGAAGTTTTTGGAAAATAATGTGCGACGTACTCTCAGCTAACCCTTGCCACGAAAATTATTACTAGCAGCTGACCAGCCGACGAGCTTGCCACAACGAGAAACGAGCAAATGAGGAATTATGAGCGTCAAGCGAGTTTTAGAACCTATACGCTTTGCACACTGTTAATCAGGGAGAGAGGCGTTGCGGTGCGAAATGGAGCTTGGTGCATGCGAACACGGACTATTTTCGCGAAACCTGGTTAGCGACGTGTAGACAATTTCGCGAGCAGCTCCTGAAGTCCTACTGGTTGGGGTGATTGGATGAGGTTCCAGAACTTTTTGGGGACAGGAGCTGTTGACACGTGCCATGACGACCTGTCCACATCAGCCTCGGTCTTTGGGGCAATCCCGGAGCGAGCCACATCCAACAACAGTATGGAATCGCAGCTCCTTGTTCTCGCTGTAGTATTCAATTCTGGAATCGCAATGTGGTGTGATCTAAAAAAAAAGTTATAAAAAAAATGAGGATGTGGTTCCAGACACAAGGCTGAACGCTAAGCTCTGGCCCAAAGAATGACAAAACATGGCCTGACCTGTAGAGTAGCAAGCATCTATGATGTCTTACATCTCAGAACTATTTCCAGACCAGTTATACAAGGCAATTCCAACACACGCCACCCGGCCTAAGCCTGTTCAGGCCTGCTGTGGAACAGCAGCATGCACATCCTCGTCCATTTTAGGCGGCGGCCCCATGCACGACCGTGCCACCGACTCAAACAGCTTCTTGATCTCTGGTGCACACCGCGTGAAACCGTGGCTCCAAAAGTTGTACCTCGGATTCTGAGGCAGCACAGGAAACCACAGCATTGAAAAATGGCAAGAGAGGAGAGAACCAATCACATACCGGACCAACCATCGTGGAAACAGGTCTGATTCGTGTCATAACTAGGAACGGAAGGATTGAGGGGGGGGAAGGGAGAGGGGGGGGGGAGGGGAAGAGGAGGGGAGAGGGGGAAACGAGGGAAGCAGGCGCAAGGTAGTATTGATATCAAGCAAGACTCCCTTCCATACCTTGATGAGCTCAATGAAAGTGATGAGGAGACCCCACGGGTGTGGCCGATTGACAATCAGCCGCTCCAGCAGCACACGCGTGATCTGCTCCTGGACAATCTCCTGCAGATAAAAAATAACACCACACAGACGGACACGAGGACACAGAAGGACACAGAAAACACCACATAAAACAAAGGGCAGCGCAGCTAACCAAGAGGTTGGTGGCACAGGGAAGCCTAACCCTAGAGCCAGCTTTCTCAGCTCTCCCCCACAGGGCCAAGTTGCCCTATCCCACCCCTCGTTCCTCACCTGATTGGCTTCAGCAAAGGGGTAGAGCAGCACGCATGAGAAGTAGTGCGTGTGGCTGTTGGGGTACCGCAGCTGGTTGGTCTATCACCCCTCATGTCACACCTGGTTACCCTATCAACCCTAACGCCTCACCTGGTTGGCTTCAGCGAACAGATAGAGCGGCACGCAGGAGAAGTAGTGAGTGTGGTTGTTGGGGTACCGCAGCTGGTTTGCCACCGCGTTCAGAAACTGTCCCTCCCCAGCCACCCCTCTCCCAGTACCTTCTAGGACAGAACAAAGGGCAGCTTACCTGGTTGGCCTCGGCAAACAGGTAGAGCAGCACGCAGGAGAAGTAGTGCGTGTGGTTGTTGGGGTACCGCAGCTGGTTCGCCACGGCATTCAGAAACAGGTACCGCCCCTCCGAGTCTAGATGCGACAGCAGGCGCTGAAACACGTCCATGGGGGCGCTGTGGGTGATGGGCGCGGTTGGAACCGCTAGCTGCTGGGGGGTTGCCTTGCTCTGGAGCTGTTGGATCGCCTGTTGTGGGTGGGAGAGGAGGGGTGGAGTCAGCAGGCGCTGAAACACGTCCATGGGGGCACTGTGGGTGATGGGGGCTGTTGGCACTGCTAGCTGCTGAGGCGTTGCCTTGCTCTGCAGCTGCTGGATGGCCTGTTGTGGGTGGGAGAAGGGGGGGGAGGAGAGCGACAGCAGGCGCTGAAACACGTCCATGGGGGCGCTGTGGGTGATGGGGGCTGTTGGCACTGCTAGTTGCTGAGGCGTTGCCTTGCTTTGGAGTTGTTGAATGGCCTGTTGTGGAAAGGGGGAGATGGTGTGGGCAAGAAGGATGCAGCAGGCAGGCAGGCAGGCAGGCAGGCAGGCAGGCGGGCAGGCAGGCGGGCAGGCAGGCAGGCAGGCAGGCAGGCAGGCAGGCAGGCAGGCAGGCAGGCAGGGAGAGAGAGAGGAGCATGGGTTGAGAAAACAAGTTGGGCCGTGCATTCTGTCTCGTGGGGCTAATGTGCGCAGTTCCGACAAGAGCAACGCATCTCCATGCCCACACAGCGGAGCTGCACTGTGTAAGTAACGGGCCGTTCTGCCCGTTGCACCGCGTGCCGTTCTGCACGGCTTCAGCGAGCTGCACAGTGTAATGGGGAGTCTAGGAATCTTCCAGATCTCTCACATAGAAACGCAACGAACCTGCATGCCGACGTAGAGCACCAGCGAGTTGAGCAGAGGCACGTTGTACTTGGTGCCGCTCTGCACGGCTTCAGCAGGCGGCAGCAGCAGACGCTGCTTGAGGCTGGCGGAGAGGAAGGAGGGCGGCTGGCGCGTCTGCAAGTACTCGTCCACCTCGGATTTAAGCCCCTTGGCCCTCAGCGTTGCTTCGACATCGGACAATATCCGCGGAGGCTGGCTGATTTCAGGCAGCAGGTCCACCTGGTGAGGGGAACAATGGAAGGAAGGGGAAGAGGAGAGGGGGATAAGGAGCAGCAGGAGCAGCAGGAGCACCAGGCGGAAGCAGCAGGCGCTGCTAGAGCCTGGCAGAGAGGAAGGGCCACTCAGCTCACCTTAAGGTTGGGAGTGAAGGGGTGCGGGAGGCGCATGTTGCGGGGGAAGGCGGAGAGCACCAGGTTGCGCATTTGAATGCACGTGGGAGGGATGGTGTGACGATGACGTGGTGCGCTAACAGTCCCAGCCTCAGCAGAATGTGATGTGAAGGTAAGCTCAACTCACCTTGAGATTTGGCGTGAAGGGGTGTGGGAGGCGCATGTTGTGGGGGAAGGCGGAGAGCACAAGGTTGCGCATTTGAATGCACGTGGGAGGGATGGTGTGACGATGACGTGGTGCGCTAACAGTCCCAGCCTCAGCAGAATGTGATGTGAAGGTAAGCTCAACTCACCTTGAGATTTGGCGTTAAGGGGTGCGGGAGGCGCATGTTGCGGGGGAAGGCGGAGAGCACAAGGTTGCGCATTTGAATGCACGTGGGAGGGATGGTGTGACGATGACGTGGTGCGCTAACAGTCCCAGCCTCAGCAGAATGTGATGTGAAGGTAAGCTCAACTCACCTTGAGATTTGGCGTGAAGGGGTGCGGGAGGCGCATGTTGCGGGGGAAGGCGGAGAGCACAAGGTTGCGCATTTGAATGCACGTGGGGGGGATGATGGGGGATGATGGTGTGGTGTGGTGATAGTCCCACCCAGCCCCAGCAGAATATGATGTCGTAGTTAGCACACCTCACCTTGAGATTTGGAGTGAAGGGGTCAGGGAGGCGCATGTTGCGGGGGAAGGCGGAGAGCACAAGGTTGCGCATTTGGATGCACGTGGGGGGGATGATGTCGCAGAAGCTGAAGTGATAGTCACAGAGGAACTCAGGGAAGTCGTGGAGCAGCACTAACAGGACGCGGATCGCTCCCTTATACATCAGGCGGATCTGACAGTAACGAGTATAAGAGGGGTGTGTGTGGGGGGGCAGCGGGGGGTGGGGGGGAGGGGAAGAGCAGGGTTGGGGGGGATGATGTCGCAGAAGCTGAAGTGGTAGCCACAGAGGAACTCGGGGAAGTCATAAAGCAGCACTAGCAGCACGCGGATGGCCCCCAGGGCCCAGCGCCCCGCACATCAGATAGCTGGATAGCTGAGCTCAGCGTCCCGCAGGTAGGGCTCCATGAACTTGAACAGCGAGAGCAGCAGACGCTGGAAGCCACGAGCAGGACTGGAAGACTGGCCTTACCAACCAAGCCGTGCCAACTCACCGAGCCACTACTGGGGTGACAAGCAAGCACTTGAATCAACTCACAGGGTCGCTGAGCTCAGCGTCTCGCGGGTAGGGCTCCATGAACTTGAAGAGCGAGAGCAGCAGACGCTGGAAGCCACGAGCAGAACTGGGAGACTGGCCTTACCAACCAAGTGAACTCACCCAGCCCCTACTACCACAAGCCAAGGAACCTCACTCACCGGGTCGCTGAGCTCTGCATCCCGCAGGTAGGGCTCCATGAACTTGAAGAGCGAGAGCAGCAGACGCTGGAACCAGGGCCACCCCTTCTGGCCGGGAAAGAGCAGCAGCTTGGGCATGAAGGAGCGATGGCTTATCAGCTCCAGCCACGCGAAGCTGAGAATGGGGAGAGAGGGACAAGGGATGGGAAGTGGGATGGGGAGGTGGGATGGGAAGTGGATGGGAAGGTGGTGGCAGGGGACAGGATGAGGAACGTTCATGCTCTCAGCCTCCAGCGCGATAAAACCAGGGCCACCCCTTCTGACCGGGGAAGAGCAGCAGCTTGGGCATGAAGGAGCGATGGCTTATCAGCTCCAGCCACGCGAAGCTGAGAATGGGGAGAGAGGGACAAGGGATGGGAAGTGGGATGGAGAGGTGGGATGGGAAGTGGATGGGAAGGTGGTGGCAGGGGACAGGATGAGGAACGTTCATGCTCTCAGCCTCCAGCGCGATAAAACCAGGGCCACCCCTTCTGACCAGGGAAGAGCAGCAGCTTGGGCATGAAGGAGCGATGGCTTATCAGCTCCAGCCACGCGAAGCTGAGAATGGGGAGAGAGGGACAAGGGATGGGAAGTGGGATGGGGAGGTGGGATGGGAAGTGGATGGGAAGGTGGTGGCAGGGGACAGGATGAGGAACGTTCATGCTCTCAGCCTCCAGCGCGATAAAACCAGGGCCACCCCTTCTGACCGGGGAAGAGCAGCAGCTTGGGCATGAAGGAGCGATGGCTTATCAGCTCCAGCCACGCGAAGCTGAGAATGGGGAGAGAGGGACAAGGGATGGGAAGTGGGATGGAGAGGTGGGATGGGAAGTGGATGGGAAGGTGGTGGCAGGGGACAGGATGAGGAACGTTCATGCTCTCAGCCTCCAGCGCGATAAAACCAGGGCCACCCCTTCTGACCAGGGAAGAGCAGCAGCTTGGGCATGAAGGAGCGATGGCTTATCAGCTCCAGCCACGCGAAGCTGAGAATGGGGAGAGAGGGACAAGGGATGGGAAGTGGGATGGGGAGGTGGGATGGGAAGTGGATGGGAAGGTGGTGGCAGGGGACAGGATGAGGAACGTTCATGCTCTCAGCCTCCAGCGCGATAAAACCAGGGCCACCCCTTCTGACCGGGGAAGAGCAGCAGCTTGGGCATGAAGGAGCGATGGCTTATCAGCTCCAGCCACGCGAAGCTGAGAATGGGGAGAGAGGGACAAGGGATGGGAAGTGGGATGGAGAGGTGGGATGGGAAGTGGATGGGAAGGTGGTGGCAGGGGACAGGATGAGGAACGTTCATGCTCTCAGCCTCCAGCGCGATAAAACCAGGGCCACCCCTTCTGACCAGGGAAGAGCAGCAGCTTGGGCATGAAGGAGCGATGGCTTATCAGCTCCAGCCACGCGAAGCTGAGAATGGGGAGAGAGGGACAAGGGATGGGAAGTGGGATGGGGAGGTGGGATGGGAAGTGGATGGGAAGGTGGTGTGAGGGGACAGGATGAGGAACGTTCATGCTCTCAGCCTCCAGCGCGATAAAACCAGGGCCACCCCTTCTGACCGGGGAAGAGCAGCACCTTGGGCATGAAGGAGCGATGGCTTATCAGCTCCAGCCACGCGAAGCTGCCAGGGGGAGGGGCGAAAGAAGGAGAGGACGGGGGAGCGGGAGGGCGGTGGTCGGGGACAGGATGACGATGAGAGACGCGCACTCACACGCGCACACCACACATCCACCCAACCCCAACCCCAACCTTTTGAGGCGCCTCAAAACGCGAAGCTGCCAGGGGGAGGGGCGAAAGAAGGAGAGGACGGGGGAGCGGGAGGGCGGTAGTCGGGGACAGGATGACGATGAGAGACGCGCACTCACACGCGCACACCACACATCCACCCAACCCCAACCCACACCCACACCCACACGCCCACCCACACCCACACCCACACCCACACCCACACCCACACCCACACCCACACCCACACCCACACCCACACCCACACCCACACCCACACCCACACCCACACCCACACCCACACCCACACCCTCACCCACACCCCTACCAACCCACCCCCTGGTCCTCACCTGAACGAGGGCACTCGAAGGGGCTGCAGGGCGTGGAAGGTGGCCGCAAGGGTGGTGAGCACCTGATGGGAGGGACACAAGGAAACAGGATTTGAAGAGCAGGAATTGGATGGACAGGAATTGGATGCTCGGGAATCGGATGTTCGGGAATCGGATGCTCGGGAATCGGATGCTCGGGAATCGGATGCTCGGGAATCGGATGGGCGGGAATCGGATGGGCGGGAATCAGATGGGCGGGAATTGGATGAGTGGGAATTGAAAGGGCGGGAATTGAAAGGGCAGAATTTGGAAGGGCAGGAATTGGAGAGACAGAAATTGGAAGGACGAGAATTAGATGGAGAGAAACGTATACAGTGACCCTCCCTGGCCCCACCCCACCCACTCCCCCTCCCAAATTTTCCCAATTTAACACAAATTGCTGAATACTGACTCCCTCACCTGGTGGCTGGCAGCATCAAAGTTGGGATCTGGTGCATTGAGGTCGATAAGCAGGTTGGCGAGGAGGCGGAAGAAGGGGCGCGGGTTGGTGAGTCTTCGCTCGTCGGCTTGTCGGTGGATGACCCTCACCACGCCTGACAGCACCTTGTTCAGCAGATTCACCTTGCTCAGATTCGCATTGCCACCCAAATCCACGTAGTACTGCAGTTGGAATGGGTGGAAAGGGGTTGGGAGGAGTACACATAGGTGGGAAGTGGTGAAGAGCACTGGAGAGCGATGGAAGGGAGTGAGGCAACATGGCAGTGGATGACCCTCACCACGCCCGACAGCACCTTGCTCAGCAGATTCACCTTGCTCAGATTCGCTTTTATCCCCAAGTCCACATAATACTTCTCAGATGCTCATGGGCGAGCGTGGGAGGTGTACTTCTCACCTCACACGGGGGCAGATGCTCGCCACGACCCCACGAAAAGGGTTCCTGGCATGCGACGGCCAGTGACAGAAATCGTCAATGCTAACCTTCGTTTCCCTCACTTGCCGTCGCACGTCAGGGACCCTTTCTGCCGGGTCGTGGCGAGCATCTGCCCCCGAACGAGGTGAGAAGTATGCCTCTCACGCTCGCCCATGAGCATCTGTGAATGCACCTTGTTAAGCAGATTCACCTTGCTCAGAGGCGTATCTTGATAAAGGTGGGGTGGGGTGGGGTGGGGTGGGGTGAGGGAAACAATCACAAGCAGTGATCCTAGAAGGCGTACCTTAATGAGAAGCACCACAAGGCGACTGAACATGTCAACCGCCGTGAAATTCAACCCCCTAGCCGGAGGCACCTGGCCGCTGCCAGAGGGGGCGGCCGTGGGGGGCGGGTTGAGCGCCTGGGAGGCGAGGCAGTGTGCAACGACCATGTCGGTGAGCGTGCGGAAGAGCCTCTCTGCGGCGTCCTCCGAGGCGAGCAGCGAGGAGTGCTGCAGCTGCGAGAGAAACACCACCACCGCCTTGTCGTTGCTGCCCGCCGCCGCCGCCTCGCTCACCCGCACCCAGTCGTCAAACAACGCCACTGCCTGCGCCTGAGGTAAGGGGGAGGGGGCGGGGGTGAACGGACAGTTTAAGTTGCAAGGGCATTGATGCCGCCTTGCCGTTGCTGCCCGCTGCCGCTGCCTCGCTCACCCGCACCCAGTCGTCAAACAACGCCACTGCCTGCGCCTGGGGTGGTGGTAGGGAGGCGGGTGGGGGAGGGGAGGTGGGGGAGAGATATGACAGGTCTCAAGGGGAAACGGTTGACTGCTGCCCGCCGCCTCGCTCACCCGCACCCAGTCGTCAAACAACGCCACTGCCTGCGCCTGGGGTGGTGGTAGGGAGGCGGGTGGGGGAGGGGAGGTGGGGGAGAGATATGACAGGTCTCAAGGGGAAACGGTTGACTGCTGCCCGCCGCCTCGCTCACCCGCACCCAGTCTTCAAACAACGCCACTGCCTGCGCCTGGGGTGGTGGTAGGGAGGCGGGTGGGGGAGGGGAGGTGGGGGAGAGATATAAGGTCTCAAGGGGAAACGGTTGCCTGTTGCCCGAGCCTCGCTCACCCGCACCCAGTCGTCAAACAACGCCACTGCCTGCGCCTGAGGGGGGGGAGGGGGGGATGGGGAAGGAGAAAAAGAGCGGTAGAGAAGAAAGAGAGCTTTGACGCAGAATCATTCACTGCACACACCCTCCGAAATGCGTGAGGTGTGGTTTAGGGTGTGAGTGAAGCAGGGGTTGCAAGTGAAAGTGTACGTGTGAGTGAAGTATGGGGAGACAGAGTGAGATGCAGCACGTGCCTTGATCTCATGGTCAGGAGGAGCGTTAGCTGACTGCGGCATGGCTGATGAGTCCACCTGCACACACGCATCCCAGGCAAAGCACATGCATGCAACGTAAGGGAGACACAAGAAAAGGAAGGAGGGCAAGCTGAGAATAATGAAAGACAAGGAAGAGGGTGCATCAATCCACGGTTCCAGCCTAGATTTGAAAAATCCATGTATCCATCATTCATCCATCGAAGATCAGCCACGTACCTGCTGGTTGATGCCTGGGAGGTCCATGGGAGGAGCGGGGCTGCCTGCATACGCCAGAGGGCCCTCCGCGCCCATGGGGATCTTGGGGAGCCCGGGGGGGGCTGCCACAGCGCCAGCAGCGCCAGGAGCAACACCAGGGGCAGAGCCAGGAGCAGAGCCCGGCGCACCAAGGGGCATGCCAGCAGCTGCTGCTGCTGCTGCTGCTGCTGCTGCTGCTGCTGCTGCTGCCACTGCTGCTGCGGAGCCGGGTCTTTCGATTTCTGCTGCAATCAGTTGGGCAGGCGAGGGGGATGCGGAATTGGCATTGATCAGCTGAGCCTGCTGCTCCTGCTCCTGCTCCTGCTGCTCCAGGTACCCCTTGGAAACCCATCCCCGCCTGCTGCTGCTGCTGCTGCTGCTGCTGCGCCTGTGCCTGTGCCTGCGCCTGCGCCTGTGCCTGAGCCTGTGCTTGTGCCTGCTGATCCTGCACTGTTAGTTGCTGCTGCTGCTGCTGCTGTGAGGCACCATACGGGACAGGAGACATAGAAGATCCAGGCAAGCCCGAAACCATCCCTGCCATTCCCCCACCGGCAGCACCACCAGCAACCACTCCACCCTGCTGCTGCCCCACCTGCTGCCCGACCTGCTGCCCCACCTGCTGCGGCGCCTGCCCAAGCACCATTTGCCCCTGCCCCATCTGCTGCCCGGCCTGCCCCGCCCCTCCAGCCCCACCCAGCACAGCAGCTGCTGCAGCTGCAGCCGCTCCAGCCTGCGGCACCTGCCCCTGCCAGGGCAGGTGCGCGAAATCCTCGTAGATTCTCTGCTGCACCAGCGTGAGCCGCCCGGGTTTGGGCCTGAGGGCCTCTGGGATGCGGGCGAGGGAGCCCTGGGAGTAGATGGATGCGTCATAGTAGGCCGCGCCGAGAGCCTCCCGCTGCTTGCGCCTCATGGCTAGTGCCGGACCCAACACCTCCTCTAGATCACGCACAGCCTGGGGATGTGGTGAAGAATAGATGGTGAAGGGATGACGCGGGGGGGAGAGAGGGGGGGGGAGGAAGCCCTTACGCGCCATGCCAGATTGCAGCAATTGCAAATGCCTCACCTTCTCGTTCGCAGACATCTCAGAGACAGCTGTCATCTCGAGAGCGACTCGCCTTCTCAACAGCTGCCTTCTCAAACACGGCACACTCCAGGTCGATGACTGAGTCCAACCTAAAATGACAACCCAAACAAGAGTAGTAACAGAAGCCCCTCACCTTCTCACTGGCGGCCTTTTCAATGACGGCACACCCCAGGTCGAGATTATCGCTGACCAGCAGCTGCGCCACCTGCTCCAGCTGGTGACTTTCAACTCAGGTAACACATTGCAGCAGTTACAGTTAAAAGTTCTCAACAGTGTCTCACCTTCTCGCTAGCAGCCTTCTCGATGACGGCACACCCCAGGTCGAGGGTGGTTATCGCTGACCAGCAGCTGAGCCACCTGCTCCAGCTCCGCCCCTGCCAGTGCTGCCTGCAGCAGAGTTCTCAGGTGGTTTGCCATTGCCACACGCAGAGGCTCCTGTTGGAACGAATGGAAGCAGAGTCAACAGAAGAGAGGGGAGGAGGGGTGAGCAGCTGAGCCACCTGCTCCAGCTCCGCCCCTGCCAGGGCCGCCTGCAGCAGAGTTCTCAGGTGATTTGCCATTGCCACACGCAGGGGCTCCTGTTGGGACGACAGGTGGGAGGAAGGGGCATGGACAACAGAAGAATGGGGTGGAGGCGGTGTAAGGGTGGGAGGGGTGGGAGGGATGGAAGGGGCACACCGAACCAAACACCACACCACCAATACACCACACACATCGCATCGCACACCCCACCACAAGGTCATCCACACACCTCCACACACCCCACTCCACCTCCTCACACCCCACTCCACCTCCACACACCTCCACACACCCCACTCCACCTCACACCCACCTTGCACGTGACGAGCGCGAGACTGCCCGCCAGGCTCGCCACCATCAAGTTGGCTGCCTTCTGTGTGCGAC